CTCATTCAAGATGTATTTCAGTTAATCTCTTTCTCTTTTTTTATTTCTTATCTATAATAAATATTGTTATAATAAAAATAATCATGTAGACATTTTTGGGTTAATTGTATAATTTAAATTTCAAGCATGTAAATAATTATTAATAAAATGGGATTTAATATTTCTATTATTATCATTTATAATGCTAACTTCACCATAGGGTACCAATTAAGGGCGTTGTAGGGGTGCTTAATACCTTCCCTACACGTAACCGACCCTCGAACCTAATTTTGGCTATCAAGGCTATTATTGAATTTTTAAAAACCTTTTCTTTCTTCAGTGTTTTGAGTAAAACATTGGTGGTGACTCCATGAACTCATTTTTCAAAACCATTAATTAAGGATTAGTTTGGTGTCCAGGCATTCCTTAATTGATAAGACTTTCAAAAAGATGTTTAAACCATTAGTCGCGAGATCAGATTTATCTATCGATAATTACCCACGGATTTATCTATCGATAATTACCCACGGATTTATCCGTCGGTAATTACTCACGGATAAAATTGTGAGTAATTATCTAATTTAATTTTTATTTATCATAATTACTTATAAATTAATTTTGTTATTTATAACATAACTTATTAATAAAAAATAATTACTCACGGATTTATCCATCGATAATTACCCTCGAATTTATCCATCGGTAATTACCATGGATTTATCAGTCAATAATTACCCACGGATTTATCCGTCGGTAATTACCTAGGGATAAATCCGTCGGTAATTATCTAATTTAATTTTTATTTATCATAATTACTTATGAATTAATTTTATTATTTTTAAAATAAATTATTAATAAAAAATAATTACACACGGATACATCCGTCGGTAATAACGGTAATTTTGTGGGTATTGTTGATAATATTTTTAAAAAATCATTTTAAAATTATATTAAATAATAATATTGTTTTATTAAAAACAATATAGTTTAAAATTGGTAAAATTATTATAAATGTTAAGAAATTATCTTTTAATTTTAGATTATCATGCATCAATATCATTTCACTAATTATATATTTCTCAATTTAAATAAAATTAGCTATATAATATTAAAATATATTGATAGTGACACACACTCTATAGTGACACTATACATGTCATTAAAAATTGCTTATACCCACACAATAACTACAATATATGTTGGTATATTATTAAAAGGTGTGGGTATAGACTATAGTGACACACAAAATATGTTGTTAAATCTCATTCAAAATCAACACTAAAATTGTGTGTAACTATATGTCAAATAGACATATACCTACATATATTGTACCTATAATGACACATTTTGTATGTCACTATATGTAACATCTCTTATAGTGGTACATTATTATTTTATACTATCATTTAATTATAAATTTTATATATATAATAGTTGGTATGGCAAATTAATTAGCATGAGAAAATTATTTAAGTATTTAAGAATTTAATTTGTTAATCTTTTATCATTAAATTTTTTAAAGTTACCGACGAATTTTTTTGCATTTTCTACGAACAATGTTTTAGACAGATAATCCATGAAAAATATCTGTTTGAAACATCATAATTTTCCCAAGGAAAAAATACGTGAGTAATATCCATATGAAATTTCAAACGGAGAAAATCTTTGGGTAATATCCTTTGGAATCATTTATGTTTCAGATGGACACATATCCAATGTCATTTTTTAGATGGATATTTATTCGTAGAAAAAAGTCTGTCGGTAATGAGTGTTTTTTTTTTGTAGTAGAGATTCCCATCCTCATCATGCTCATAGAAACACATCACTTGTATTAACATAATAATAAGGCAGTTCTCACACCATTAGCACCTTCAAACATTTAAAACTTATCTACTTTTGAAATTAATCACATATTCACATTCAGGAAACATCAAGGAACCCAATAGAAAACTCAAACATCAAAATAGAAAACATTCATATTTTTCCTGTTTCTCGTAGGGTTTCCCGTAGAAACCCATAGAGCACTCTAATCCCTATCAAACCATATTCAAACTCAAAATTAAATATATATATTCGTGCTCAGTAATCATCAGGAAACACAACAGAAAACTCATAAGCCAAAACAGAAAACATTCAAAATTTTCCTGTTTCTCATAGGGTTTTCCATAGAAACCCATAGAGCACTCTAATTCATATCAAAACATATTCAAACTCAAAATTAAAAATACATTCATGCTCAGTAATCATTGGGGAATACAATAGAAAACTTAGAAGTCAAAACATAAAACATTCAAAATTTGCCTGTTTCTCATAGGATTTCCAATAGGATTAATATATCGGGTTTTACCCATACCCGTACCCGTACCCGGGTATTCCCCGTCAAAGTCGAGATGAGTTCGAGTATTACCCGCGGGTACGGGTATATTTGCCATCCTTACATGTAGGGAGGTGGTCTCTTTTGTATTCGTAAAATTTGGGTAAAATTAAAAGCTAGTTTTGACGCATATAAAATAAACAAATATTTTTAAGAAGAAAATAGGAAAAATAAATAAATATTTTATAAATTAAAACTAGATTATGAATGAGTTAGAAATAAAATTTTAATATATATAAGAGAACTTTTAAAATTGATTTATACATAAGTTAATTTTAATTTATAAAAAAAATATTATTTTATTCTCTTAAAAATACTTTCAGAGAAATTTATTTAAATAAATTCATACATGTACCAGAAAGAGTTAATATAATATATTAAAATAACTTCATTTGTTTGTTCGCATATTTGTATAAACATATCTATCAAACCTAGCCTAATAAAATGATTAATAGCTAAAAGCATGCCTTTGAATTAAACTTGATTAGATTAGATTTTGACATATTATACCTTAAGGAATTCATACCAGTGTTCAATGTATTATCAATAAAAACTTATGGAAGAGACATTTGAAAAGAATTTACACAAAACTTGATATCCAAAAAAATAGGCTAGGAGTGTCCTTGCATTTCAGATATCCCTATAATTTCTTAGTCGTTGATACGATTGTACCCGTTGATTAATGTAACCTCGGTTAATTCAAACCTATCAAATTTATGCACAATAAAAGTTAATTATATGACATATAATCCCTCATTGTTTTATTGCTTTATGATTTTACAATTCATGGTTCATAATGAATGTTCAGGGCGCTGCATGAGAAAGAGGAGAGACCAAAGGACGGGTTAACTCGGAATCAGTTTTTCCTTATAGCATTTCTTTGCAGTTTTGCTTATTACGTCTTTCCCGGTTACTTGTTCCCGATGTTGACGTCAATTTCGTGGATTTGCTGGGTGTTTCCCACTTCCGTTATAGCACAACAGATAGGTTCAGGTTTGCATGGTCTTGGGCTTGGTGCTATTGGCTTTGACTGGTCTAGTATATGTTCTTATCTTGGTAGCCCCATGGCCAGTCCTTGGTTTGCCACGGCTAATGTTGCTGCCGGTTTTGCCATTTTCATGTATGTCATCACACCCATTGCTTATTGGACCAATCTTTACAATGCAAGAAGATTTCCCATATTTTCAGATGATCTATTTATGTCCAATGGTGAAAAGTACAACATCTCAGCTATAATAGACTCCAAGTTTCACCTTGACATGGAGGCTTTTGAACGTCAGGGCCCTCTTTACCTTAGCACCATCTTTGCCATGTCATATGGCATTGGTTTTGCTTGCCTTTCTGCAATCCTTGTTCATGTCTTGCTCTTCCATGGGAGGTAGGCCTTAGTCGTGTGGTAATAGTTCCAATTTTGGATTTTTTTGACTTAATTACATTTTTTGCCACTATATTTTACAATTTTATAAATTTTGTCATCCAAATTAATTTTGAAATTATACGTTTTATGACATATTAGTTTACTACTAATGTCACATATTGACTGCTGATATGTTTAATTAATGGTTGATAATAGTATAAATTATTAATTTGACATATAAATGATGATGTGACATAATATAACACATTAATGATCAATTTGACATGTCAACAATTAACATACTATATTATAAGTCAACTAATAAAAACATAATGTCAATTAACAAGATAACTGTTATGAACTAGATTTAATAGAAACACAAATGATATTCTTGATTTAAAATAAAGAAAACTATTATAGAAGATAACCCATGTAATTCTAGAGCTAATTCTTTTTAGAGAAGTTTTAGAGAAAGTACGCCTCGTTCCCTGCCAACCTTTGAAGGTTCGAATAGTAATGATTCGAATCCTTTGTCCTTGCAGTCCCCCCAACTCCCTATAACTAGGTTGCCTCTCCTAACTAACCAGCCATGTCAGTAATTATAACTAATTTTATGTTCAACCCAGTTGTTGGGCTTTAGACCCAAACCAGTACCCTAAAATGACAAAATGTGAGAAAGTTTAAAATTGGATAATAAAATATGCAAAAATTTAAAAGTTGAATGATAAAACGTGCAACTTCAATAATTAAGTGACAAAATTTGCAAATTTGTAGTAGTTTGATAACAAAATTTGTAGTTAAACTTTGAGGAATGCTAGTAACACTTTGTGACACACTCTTTAAACACACTCTCTTTAATTGATTGAAATTTATTGAATAATACAAAATTTGATGAATTCTATATACCCTATTTAATGACTCTCTGGATTTTGTAATTTTTAATAAATTGTAACCTACAAGAATGAGTATGTTAAGAGAAGTGTAACTTTTATTTTCGTTGAGACTGAATGTGTCATTTCTTGAAATAAGTGTTGTCATGATGCAGAGAAATATTGCGGGTAAGTAAGTCTGCTATCCAAGAGAACAAGATAGATATACACACGAAGATCATGAGGGAAAATTATAGTCAAGTTCCTGAATGGTGGTTTCTTTGCTTTCTTTTGTTCAACATCACAACAACTATATTTATATGTGAATATTTCAACAATCAACTCCAACTACCATGGTGGGGTGTGGTGTTAGCTTGTGTTGTTTCCATATCATTTACTCTTCCAGCTGGAATAATTAGAGCCACAACAAATCAGGTATAGTCTCGGATTATAAAATACACGTTATAAAATTCTTGGCAATAATAAAAGTTGTTAATGAAAATTGTGGTAAAATATTATCCTGGTGCCGAACGTGGGTGTAATTTCTCCTTATTTGGTAGAGAAGAAATGTGTGAGAAATAGACCGGAGAGAGTGGAAATAAGAGTGTGAAAATAAGAGAGGTTGTTTGATTGAGAAGAAATAGAGAGGAAACAAATTAAAAAGTGGTGAGTCTCATCTTTTTATTTATTTATTTATTTCTTTCTCTTCTCTCTTGTATATATCTTATTTCTCATCTATTTCTCTTTAACCAAACAATCAATTTTTTTTATTTTTTGGCTATTTCTTTTTCACTTTTTATTTCTTTCCACTATATTTTTCATCTATTTCTTTCTTCTCTACCAAACACAAACTAAGTACCAAGTACTTTTTGTAGCTTCAAATTCAACAAAGTGATGTCACTTTAGAAGTTGTATTGGTGTAACTAATGATTGCACCATAGATTTTGAACAAATTTAGTGTAACTAAAATATTGGTGTTACCAATATTTTAGCAGTTATATTCCAAATACTGCATTTGACCTAAAATAGTTTGATTCATTTTCCCTTCATTATCAATCACATGGCTTAACAATAACTATTTTTTTCTTGTTTTGAAGACACCATCTTTGAATATTATAACAGAGTACATAATTGGATACATTTACCCAGGATATCCTGTTGCTAACATGTTGTTTAAAGTGTATGGGAATGTGAGCATGCAGTTGTAAAATGCAATCCAAAAGGAAAATGAATTTTTGTTTTCCAGGAACCAAACTAAACACTTAGAGGTGTAAGTATACATATTGCATTATCAAGGGAGGTGAGCTACTAAGAGCCACTTAATAACCAAGCTTTTTCAAGTGGAAATTACTAAACCCCCTTATGTTACCTTTAATTCCACAAATCTTTTCACAAATCATTAATACTTTATGATTTTCAAAAATTTTCTTGAGTTCTATCTAAATGTGAGCAAGATATAAACTACACAAGCTAGTCGAAATTACAAAAATACAACAAGAAAAGAAATTAAACCATAGCAAAGAACAAGGATTTACAAGCTAGTCAGTTTCGCTAAGTGGAAGCTTGAAATCATATGAAATTTTCATGCCGCTTCCACTAGATCTACACGTGATTGAGCTATAAGGGTTTAGATATACCTGACCAGCTTCTTAATACTCCCTCCAAGATATTACAAATGAATTAAAACAAAGAAAATTGCAAGAAAACACAAACTAGCCTAAAACAGATTTGGTGTCCGAATTAGTGACGGAATTAGAGACGGATTTTCGTGATAGATTTTTCCAGCAACCAAATTTTGGTGTCTAAATCCGTCTCTAATCTGGAAATTCTTCTTGAAGCCTTGTACCTACACAGTGAACAAAATGATGAAGTTAGATATGAAACACATAGAAAGGGGGGGTTGAATATGTGTGTGTGAACAAAGGTATTTTAAAAACTTTTCTGAAGAAAACTTTCTTCTGTCCTGTAAAATGATGTTAGTAAATGTTAGATAAAAACTACCCAGGTTTGGTTTAATAGAATGATTCTTCCGTCCCAAGACATTTAAAGCATTTGATGTCACTAGTCTTACCACTAGAAGTGAAAACATTTTTATTTTTCTCTTTTTCATTTTCTAGACCTTTGCCAAATTTCTTAGAGGAATCATATTGACCCTCCAATGAGTATTCTTGACCAACTCTTGGCCCGTTGACTTCACTCATTAACGCTAGTATTCTTTACTCAGCCACTTCTGGCTCTTAGTGAGTATTCTTTGACAAGCCTTTCCAGGCTTTACAAGTATTATTTTCCTAGCCTCTTCAGGCTTTACAATGTTGACTAAGCAAATTTGGTTTGAGTATATGGGTTACTCTCATAGAGAGGATACACAGGTCTCTACACTCATTAAGGTATTTAACCTTAGTCTTTGCAACTACTGAGTGTTTAGCTTACTCTCATGGAGAAGATGTAGATGTTGGTACACTCACTAAGGTTCTATTCCTAAAGTATACATATTTGGAACTCCTTAGTATACAGAGATGAATATCCTATGATACCTTTGACTCTACAAGCTCTATCTCTAATTTCGTTGCTTCATGGGCTGGATATCACGCTTTTTCTTGCTTGAACAATTTCAGGCAAAGACAGCCGCCTTTTAAGGTTCAATGTTGTGACCTATTTATAGTCTTGTGAAATTTTCCCGTTGCAAGTGTCCGTTGAAATAGTTGTAGTTGGTTTGATCTTCTCATTTAATACTTAGATTCTTGCATTAAATGTTGCTTTCTGTGATAGACCTTGCGTGAAGTATTCCTTGTCTTGGTAGCAACAGTGTCTAAGTTTAGCAGAGACCTAGTAAACTTTTTGTCCTTTTCTGGTCACAAAGCTGTAGAATTTTGTCCTTATCTGAAAAAGTTGGAGTTGCAAAATTTAATAGTAAATAGTCTCGTAAGTAATAATCAATTATCATTACCTTACATGCCCTTCTTCCTCTCCAGGTAGTTGGCACCATAATATCTGCAGTGGTGCATTTACTAACAGCATGGTGGCTCATGAGCACTGTTCCAAATATCTGTGAGAGAGATTTGCTTCCAGCAGGTAGTCCATGGATTTGCCCTGGTGATCACGTGTTCTACGACATATCTGTAACATGGGGTTTGATAGGGCCACGTAGAATGTTTGGAGATCTTGGACACTACTCAGCCATAAACTGGTTTTTCTTGGCTGGAGCCATTGCACCTTTCTTAGTTTGGCTAGCACACAAGGCCTTCCCTCAGAAACAGTGGATTAGGCTCATCAATGTGCCTGTGCTCTTGGGAGCAATAGCTGTCATGCCTCCAGCCACAGCAGTGAACTACACTAGTTGGGTCCTTGTTGGCTTTGTATCAGGGTTTGTTGTATATCGTTACTATCGTGGTTGGTGGAGCCGACACAACTATGTGTTGTCTGGTGCACTTGAAGCAGGGTTAGCCTTCATGGCGGTTTTGCTCTACTTGTGTTTGGGGATGGAGTATATCAGCCTTAACTGGTGGGGCAGTGACCCAGATGGGTGCCCTTTAGCTTCATGTCCAACTGCTCCAGGTGTCATATCTAAAGGGTGTCCTCTTTACTAAGTTTGATGGTGGTGGTGTAGCCATGGTTTTAAATTGTAGATGAGGTTGTATTGGGAAATGCTAAATTGCTGGCAAATAAGGTTTATGGAGCCACTAGCCACAGTTGTTATTATAATGAGGTTCCACAATTGTTTTGGACTTGTAGCAATAGCATAGATGCACATAAATGCTTGCGTAATTCTTTCTTCTGTATATTATACATTTTGTAAAATATTTTATTTATTTGGATGATGTAAATCAAGACCTCAAAGGGATGGCTTATTCTCTACGGCACATTAAATAATAATAATAATAATAATAATAATAATAATAATAATAATAATAATAATAATAAAGAGTAATGGTTTATGATTTTTTCCCCTTTTAAACTGAATAATGGTTTAATGACATAATAAATGCAAATAATAATAACAATAATAATAATAAATTTAGTTACTCATAAGACCCAACATCCAATGATGGAGGAGATGATAGCTATGGTCAATGACCTAAGGGAGGATGCTTAGGCTAAGAGGAGACAAAAGGAAATCAAGAGGGAGATCGAAGAAATCCAATGAAAGGTAGATGAGATACATGAGGTAATACAAGCCAACCTCAAGATGAAGGAGAGAGAAATGAAAATAGAAGTGCCAAAGGATGTTAAACATTTCTGAGAAGAAATCGAGGCAAAACCTATTCCATGAGATTACATGGTGCCTAAAGTCGATTCGTTTAACAAAATATAAAATCCTAGTTAACATCTAACAAAATTTTGTGCCCAAATCTTGATTTGTAGAGGAAGTATGGGAGTACGATAAAAGATGTTCAAGGGAACCTTGAAGAAAATGACTTTGGATTGGTTAAGTAGTCTACCAGGTCAGTCCATAAATAATTTTGACATTGTGGAAAAAGATAAACACTAAAAAAGGGGTTAAATAGTGTATATAAAAAATTTGCACAATTTTTCATAGTGAAGTAGTAACTCTAGTTAGATGGAGTATGAAGAGCAATCAAATAGAACATTGGAATTTTTATGCTAGTTTGTCTTAACCACTAAGACTACGTCTAGTTCTCAATCTAACCAAATTGAGTTTCACTATCTTTAAACAAAGATACAAGTATTCTTTCAACAAGTCACTTCTGACTTAATCCTAAGTATTCTTTGACTTGACTCTTCAAGCAACTACCCAAGTATTCTTTTAACAACAAGCCTCTCCAGGCTTAACAACCAAGTATTCTTTTACAATCAAGTCTCTCTAGGATCAAAACAAGTATTCTTTTTAGACAAGCCTCTTCAGGCACAACCTTATAACAATGGTTACGAAGGTTACACAAGTGTTGTGTTTGTTTCACTTAGACATTATACAACTAATATAAAACAATAAATGTTTATAAGAAAGAATAAATTTATTGAGAGGATGTTTCTATATAAAGTATATGTATCATTTAATATTGGTGTATCTTTCTTTCTTGTGCTTTGAATTTTCTTATATAGTAGTTCAAAGAAGATGACCATTGCAATAGTTCGAGTCCGACTCATAAGTTTGTTTTATCTGTCTTCATTACCTTTCCTTGTGATGGCAGGTGACCATTTGGCTCATTTAATTTGAGCATTAATTTTATTTCATCAAATGGTACCTCTTATTTGATAAGGAGGCTACTTATCATCTTTTCATACCAAATGGAGCTTGTAGAGCTTGTTCTCTTTATAAGATTTGTGAGTTTCAAGATGATCTTCTAGTTCAATCTATTAAGGGATAAAGCATTCAAAATCCTTTGTTGTTAGTCTCAACAAATAATAAACATTTAATGTATATGAGACAGACTGCATGCTTCGTCTTATTTATAGCATCTTACAAACAATTTGTGCCTTGCACTTCATTTGATAAGTTTTTCAAAGGCATTTTTGTAGACATTTTCTCTTTATAAAAACATTTTTTTTGTTAGCATTAAAACTCTAAGTTCAAGGAATCCATGATCGTCTTTTGACTTAAAAAAATGTGTTTGTTGATTGTTTGTAACTTAATTTGTTATTAACTAGCAAAGTCTCTCAACCACACCGTGAAGTTAGACAAAAAAACATAGAAGGGGGGGTTGAATATGTGTGTGTGTGAACAAATGAATTTTAAAATCTTTTCGCAATAAGGCTCTCTTTCGTCCAGTAAAATGATGTTAGTCAAGGTTAAACAAAAGCTACCCAAGATAAGTTTAGCATAATCATTTGCATCTGAGAATTTTATCATTTGCTTAGAGAAAATACTTTTTAAGTGAAAGTCGTTCTTTCGAATGTAACAAGGATGGTTTTCGTTTGAATATAGTTTTAATAGACGATAAACATTGGACGAAGTTTTCCATATTTATACTGGTTCACTCAGGTTGAGTTAAGTCTAGTCTCCTTCAATTGAAGGGTTCCACTAGATAATCCATTAAGTGCAAGTATTTTTTATTCATCCTCTTTAGGCTAGCAGTGAGTATTATAGACCATCAGTGATGGCATCTTTACTTGCATGAAAATGAGATGATGAGCAAGGAAGAGGACGCCTACTCCAAGGATCAAGTTCTTCAAAGGTGGCACAAGGTTTTAGGGTGGATGATGATAGAATGGGTGAATGGGAAGTAGGGTAGAAGGTGTGTGATGAAAGGCTTGAAAGGTACACTCTAGGGTTGGCTCACTTCATTGATGATGAATTCCACTTCTAGGGTTTTTCTCTCAAGGTGGAGATGGTAGGGTTTGGCCGAAAATAGCCAAGGGTGACTAAGGAAAGATATAAAGGCACAGAAGGCTCTCTTTATATTTAATATACAAAGTATTTACAGTTTGTGTTGTTCTT